ACTATCGCATATTCACATATATGTTTTTTTTTTGGGAGCCATGAGCATCGCGTAGGTTTACATTACCAAAGGTTTATGACAAGCCGCTAAAAGAGTCTGAGAAGTCCGGGGCTGTTCATAAAACATTCAGGACACCCAGATCTAACGACGCCACAGTTTATTCCACACTACTGAAGCTGCTCCTCTTTTTGGAACCACTGCAGAGTGGGTAATAACTTCACTTTCAGCCATGCTTGTTGTTGCCATGGGTAACCGTATGACGTCAATATGTAAACAAACTGAAATATCGCGAGTATCATGATATGAATTTTTCATATCATATTAAAAGTTATACTGGTTATTATCACGAACGAGATAATAAGGGCACCCCTACTGTATTGTTTAGTTAATTTCCCCTTAAGAAGCTTGAAGGTTTCCACCCCCCTCTTTTAAGAAATATTCTGATATTACCCAAGACTAATGTTCAGTGCAGTGAAGTGTTTGCATCAAATTATATTTCAATTACCAAAAGTTAAAGTACTAATTATGCAGAATGGCCCACTTAAAAATCAAATATATCACTGAGTTATAATTACTGACAAATTAATGTGTTGATGGCATCATGATGTTGGTGGAAGTGGAGCTAATTTTATTTACTTTATATACTGCTGGGTAGCATGTAATTTTCTCCTATGGATCAATAATGTTTTATCTTACATTGAATAGTATATTTGTGATTATATTTTGTGTTATTGATCTGAATCTTTACACTCAAGTTACAATATTTGCATCTGAACTGTTCTGGAGAAGAAGCATAAAGTAGCAGAAAATGGACTCAAGTAAAATCTCAAACTCTACTACTTTTTGATCTTTTTGTTCAGACAGCGCAGCATCAGCTGACGACACTTCCTAAAATCCCAATTACTCAAAGAGAAGTGAAAATGAGATTTTAAAAAAAAGAAAATGTAGAAGTTCAACACCTGCTTTGTGAACAGTGTTGTGCAGGCAAAGCTGTGTGTAGAAAACACTGACATGTTGTCTTAACTGTGCAAACAGTAAAGCCTCAAGTGGTCCCTTTATTAAAATTTTTACAGCATTAAAGAATCTCCCCTTCGCTCTCTCTGTTACATAATGATGTCTATCTTGACCCTTCACACCAGACAAAAACAACTAATCATTTGAGTCGTTCTTGTCACTCATGTCTGTAATGTTCTGTTGAGTAACCTGCCCCCTCTTTGGGAACATTGAGAACAAATATTTAGAACTATTTTTTTTTCTTAAGACAAGTCGTGTCCTGACCTTAAATGTTTTGTCGATTCGATAATGTGGTAGCTCCCAGCTCTCTGTGATTTAGTCTTGTAGACAGTAATTTTACAGACTCCTTCCAATTTCCCGTCTGCAGTGTAGATATTCTGAGCAGCAGGATTGCTGCCTTTCATCTGTGTGCGTGTTAACCAGTGTGAGTATGTCTGAGTGAGAAAGAGAAAATGGTTGTGTCTTCTCGAGCATCTATCCCTGTGGTCTCTCCAGAAAGAAGACTTTCAACTTGTCACCAGGAAAACAGGCAGTTTGGAGCTCAGCTTGTCTGAGAGCTGGCGACTGCACAAAATTATGTGAATGTTCACACGTCAGTCAAATTTCCTCTGTCAGTCAGATCTACAGGAAACACATTGAGGGACTAACATGAGACAAATAAGTCAAGATTTGTCAAACTCCATGTGGCATAGGCCGAAATATCCTGATTCATAATCCTTTGTACAGCGTCTAAAACACTGGATTCTACACTTCCCATAATGTAACTTGATCCTTCCTTGCAGGGAGATACCCACATTTACCTATCTCCACATTTTCAGTTTGCTACAGATGCTTTCTGTACACATGACACTCATGTGATGTTAGTTAGGCTATGTAAACTGATTTTCATCTGTGAAATTGTTCCTCTTTAATCCTCATGTGAGACTCTCCCTTAATGTCCGTCCATCAGTCTGCACAGATATGTGAAAGATTAATTAAATGTATAGTACATATGTACATGTGGCCATGTATTTGCGTGTGTATGCGTGTGCGAGAGTGTGCAGCACAGTTAAGTGGGCGTATGTCTTTCTGTGGCCTAGTTAGTGCTCTAGATGTAGACCACAGTGGACCACGCTGCCATGCAGCCAGGCTGGCACAGGAAGAGAATGAAAGAAGTGTGGGGGATTTCACAGAACAGCTCATGTCAGAAAATGATGACTGTCACTTAAAAATAACAGCACACAGGATATAATAATGCTTCAACTCCAGCATGGAAAGTAAAAAAGAACTTAAAGGGACAGTTACCCTAAAATAAAAAAAATGCATATCTTTCCTCTTACCTGTAGAGCTATTTCTCAATCTAGATTGTTTTGGTTTCAGTTGCCAAGTGCTGAGTGGCCATAGAGACGTCTGCCTTCTCTCCAATATAATAGAACTAGATGGTGCTCAGCTTGTGGTGCTCAAAGCGCCAAAACAATACATATGAAAAAGTCAACAACAATGTCTCCTTCCGGAAATCACGACCCCGTCACGCAAGTTAATCCATAGACCTTGCTGTGAGCAGTTTTGCCACACTGTGCAGAAGGAAGAGTGCATTTATTGCTAGCTTACCTAGCCCCACAACGTTAGAGCTCAGCCAAGGAGGACGCTATTGATGTTTACATCTTGCACTGTCATGAGCACGAGCCTCTTGTCCATAAGAAGACTTCCATTTACGTAGTGATACGGTTACAGAATGTAGTTCGGAAGAAAGAAAATAGTTCCTGCATGAAATTGCTCACAACAAGGGTCATGATTTCTGGAAAAAGACATTGCTGTTGAGCCAAGTGCTATCTAGTTCCATTATACTGGAGAGAAGGCAGACATCTCTACAGCCAATATTTCCAACACTCTACAACTCACATCTAAATGATCTAGAATGATAAACAGCACTACAGGTCACAGGAAAAATATGTGTTTTGTTTGGGAGGGACTGTCCCTTTAATTTGCCATAATGCAAAATACAGTGTTGGCTGACTTTTGCTGCTAAATTTTTCTGTGGGTTGTGCTCTATGTGTAATAATTCAGACCAAAACTTTTTACTGCTAACCAAGCTAGCCACAGTACTTGCTATCTAAAGCTAATGTGTCGCTAATGCAATACTCTAAGTAACAGTCGGGCTAACTGTTGTGGCTTCACTAACGACTGTGTATCACTTCCTACTTAATGCTGGTTGGTTTGATACTCAATAACTGCTTTGTTGATATGTGAACACATTCTTCGTTCAGAGTGAAAGCCGTCTTCTTTGTTTGAACCTCACATTGTTTCAGACAGCCGTTATGGCAAGATGTACAAATAATGCATACCAGATAAAACCCAGACAAAGACTGGTATGTGAATCCAATGACATCACTAAAACAACGCACCACAACAATGCACCACAACAATGCACCGTGGTTACCAGTCCGCTGAGGATAACTAACGTTTCCTTGACAACTTTCAGGAAATTCACAGCAGGTTTCAAATTAAACTTTGACTGAATGTCACCAAACTCATTCAAGAAATCCAAAGTAATCAGAGGGTTCATCCAAGGTGAAGGAAACTTGAGTTTCATTCAAGCTGAAACATTTAAAAAACAGTCTTAGTGTCACTCTACCAAGTACAGATTTTTAATGCGCCTGGTTTATTGTCAAATCTACAAAATAGCTGCGAATAAGCTATAAACGCTATGAATTTGAAAATCCCCATGACAGTACACAACAAAACAAATTGTCCATATCTGATGGAACAGTAGTGATGTCAGGTCCTTTTTTGGCACTATAGATTAGAAGATGCAGCATCAACTCACACCCACCTAACAACAACGCTTTAAAGCAACTTGTCAGTGAACTCAGATGCAAAAGATACAGTTTAACTCGTCTTTCTGAACGTCTGGTGGTGCAGGAGGTTTAAAGCTGCACTTCTGCATGAAAGAAGACTTGATCCAGATCAAATTCAGAAATGTATCCTCTTCTTACATCTTTATTTTATCACATATGCTCTATCTCAGCAAAGACCTGTGTGAGATCTCCACACCTCCACATTATGTTCAGTTACTCAGCACCTTCTGTGGTGATGACCTGCACGTGGGAGACGAGCAGTTTTCAGAAGGAAAGATGGAAATCTAGAATCCATCTAATAATCTTGCTCTTGAGCTTTTTCTGTGCAGTATCAGCTACAAGTTTGAGTGTTGCTGCTGTTGTGACTGATGTCTCCTTCTAAAACCTCTTATTCAGCCTGAAAATAGATTTTTGGGAGGAGAGGGAACAATTTCACATCTCTGTTTGAAGCTTTTGATGGGGAATCTTTTTGAGTGGGTACCGGTATCAAAGCCTGAATCTTGAAGATAAAATGTGTTGAAGCAAAGGAAGGAAGACAGCAGTCAGAGAGACGGAATGCACTGATAAAGGAGGACCAGGGCTGGGCAGCGTTCAGGAAGACTGAAGTGGAAAACGCTGAGGCATGGTACAACAGTACTGTACCAGCAGAATCATTATCACGTAACTCCACGCAGTATGTTTCAATATTCAACTGAAGGGTGGCCAACGTTATTGTAGGACATTATCAGCAATATTTCTGAAACCTATTAGACCAAAAAAATCTGAATTTGTGCTTCTGCAAAAATGCTTTTTAAAATCATTTCTGTGCATAACATGGCTCATTTTTTATCAAGGTTTTTCTTCAAAGCCTTTTAAAATTTCAAACATGGAGCTAGGTGGTCCTCCTTCAATCGATACACCAATGTTTGGCCAAGTAGGCATTGCTTATATGGTTTACTAACTTGTTCTCATTTTAAAAACTGAAGAAAGATAAAGCTTTGAAATGATTAAAATCCAGGTGAAAATCAGATTATAAAATATATGAGATATCAGCAGAGTAAAATTTTCTGGCTTACAAGGATTTAAAAGGAGATACCCTGGCATATATTCTGCTGCTACTGTATGAGTAAGTCACAGTCAGAGGATAAGGTCAAAGGTCAAGATACTCACTGGTTTCTTGAGGAAAAAGACGGACAGGGCTCCGATCAGAGGCATGTCCCCCAGCAGAGGCTCCATTACCACTCTCATCATTCCGTGAAGCTGGACAGAGGAAATAAAACATTATGAATCAGTCAGTTAGCCCTCAGTCATGTGTCTACTGTATTGTATCTAATTAAAACCTATTTATGTTCTTGTTTTTTCCATGGATTGTGAATTGTTCTTTTAGACTACATGACATTTATGTCTTTAGAGATGGTCAGTATGTCCGATTTGATGTCTGTCTAAGCTTCATGAGTAGAGCTGGGTACAGTTCAATTTCAGTAGTGCAACCAAAACACTGCATTTCAATGCCTTACTTTGACTCATGTTCACATTTTGTTTTTTTGTTAATCAAATATAATCACAGTTAACACACAAACTTAAATACTTTAATACATTTTTTTTTGAGAAGAGAACAGAAGTAAACAAGATTACAAATCAGACCAGAATTTCCGTTGCTAGTTTCAAAACCTTTTTTAAAACTGTGTGAAGAGTTGGTACCAAAATAGCATTGATATCTGATAGTCAACACTACACATGAGGTGTTGCAGACACAATTTTCACTATGACTGAAATGATGGTTTTCGGGAGATATATGTTAACATCTCTGTGGGTCTGGGCAGAGAATCAAGAGGAAAATCATGTTGAATTCACACCTCAATTGAAATCCATCCAAACATAAAAGAAACAAACACCAAAATGTCGCCCTAAAAATGCTCGTTCACCCATGTGCTGATCTGACATGCATGTCCCCGCTTTATGACACACTACATAGAATAAAATGTCAAACTGTTGTGGCCCACATTCATTTTTGCTTGTGTTGATTCACACCATTATTGGGCTGATATCTTACAGTCCGATCTTACAGGGCTTCCCACTAGAGTTGCCACCCGTCCCGTTTTTCCCAGAATTGTTCTCTTTTTTCATAAGCTGTCCCGGGGAAAAAAAAAAATCTCCCGGGACACAATTTGTCCCGTTTTTTGGGGAAAATGCAGCAGCAGCAGGCCAATGAGTCCATCCAGAATCAGTGCAACAGGCTCAAGAACATCTGTGTCAGAGAGACAACAAAGAGGTAAGAGGAGCTGTGGGAAGTCCTAACAGTTCACTTATTTGCACATCCAATCATGTTTTAATTTGTATTTTTTCCATTTATATTTAACCCCATGTGCCCGAACGACGCATAGTGCATCCAAATTCACACCTGTTCTTCACTATGGTTTTTCTCTGCGACCGTGCGTCATAGCGAGAAGCCTCGCATATCACGTGAAACAGCGGAATCGTAGCTTTCCGAATGTTTTCACAGTGAAAAAAAAGGATAAAGTTACACTAAAATTATGTATAACAGAGCTTTCATACAGCTTTGCACACACATCACTCTTGGATGGATTACTTGCGAATGCAGGGTTGCACAGAAATGCCACACATATCACCTGAAAGCGCAGGACCAGAGCTTTCCAGTGATACCACACATCATTGTGCTGTCATCCCATCACGCTATAAATCCAGATCAATTTTCTACAAAATAAAATCCTGATGAATTTATTTACAATCCATTATACAGATCTCTCTGTCATCAGTCACTTCATATAGTGAGGAATATCGTATCTTACCACGTCTTAGGCTTGCGTGTGTTTCTCCCTGTCTATACACATTTGTAGTCCAGCTTTCAAGATGCATATATCTCCATATTGTCCAGTTGACACTCCATCAAACTTTGTATGACAAAACCAGCCACTTCACCTTTGCACACCCAGACAACTGTAGCCTAATTATGCATGCTGACACGTGCCCCCCCCCCCCCCCCCCCCCCCCCCCCCCCCCCCCCCCCCCCCCATGCCCAAATTTTTTATTTTTTTTTTACTGCAATGAAAGTGGCAAATATTATCTTGGAGGACATCATTGCACTTGGTTGACTATTTTTCTATGATCTTAGATGTAAATATTACATGTTTCTTTCAGATAAAACACATTTTTGACTTGTGAATGAGTCAATGGAATTTCTTGCAATAATGAAAAAATACTGGCAATCATGTCAGCCTGGCACAAACCACATGTTTTGGACAGCTGTGAAGTGACAGAATGTCCCACCATCATGGTTCTTATATTGCCAGATTCCAGAGAGTCTCCCCTCTTCATATATGGCAGAATATGTCATTTTCCAACTTGCTATGGTGAGATACATGTACAAATGTAAGAATTTAGTAACACAGATTTGTTTTTTTCATTGATATAAAAATTAATAGAAAATACAGGCACATAGAAGGACATGAAATGATGGCAAATCTGGTCTCCTATGTCCGAATTGGTCAGTCTGAACTGGTAATAATGGTCGAGCCCTCCGCCTCAAACATTTGGTCGAGTGTCCCTTTTTTTCACAAATCCAAGGTGGCAACCCTACTTCCCACACATTTATTTATTTGTAGCGGCCTGCCTTGATAAAAACATCTGCCATCTGATTTTCTATCAGCGGCGTACTCTTGACACAGATGGAGCAGCAGAACGTGAGAGGTCTAAAAGTTTGCCAAAACTGGCCACTGCAGCAGCTGCTCCTCTCATCCATCGATCTGATCTTATCAGTGCCAATCGGATCGACTGATCAACTATCTACCCCGCAACGCACACTCCACAAGCTACTGTTGAGGAAACACAGGACTCAGAATTTAGAGATGGGACAGAGACTGATACACAAGGACTCACACGCAAGGAAAATACACAAATAAAACAGAGAGTTAGCGACTTAACACCTTTGCTGCCCATAATCCCGGCCTGTTAGATGTCCCTAATATATAGACATTGTTTCAATGCTGTTACTACCTCCAGTGCCAGCTCAGTGACGAGACAGCTGTGTCCCAAATTGTACCTTTTACACAGAATGGCACGGCGGCATAACAGCATGAAATTCCCACCTTGAAGACGTTGTGTAAAAGGGGCTACAGATTCTAATTCTGTTGAAAACACTGTCTTGGTATAATGCTCTACTACTGTCACTTGTCTCGTCCTCCTTCAGTACTCTTTTTCTAATTCTATTTGGGACACACTGGCCTTGTGCTTTTCAAAAAAACAAGGCCAAACTGTTCATTTGACATTTGGCTGTCTCCACTGCTATCAGACTGTGAAATGCTGACATTATGAAACCTTTTTGGTGCTAAGAGTCTTAAGGAGAAAAGATCAGAGCTTAAATCATCTGGGACTGAAATCAGCTATCAATGCAAAACAATGCAAAAGAGGAAAACTGATGATTAAAGCAGAAGCAAAGAACTGTTGAGGGTCAAAGCTTTTTTCATGTTAAACTAAAATTACAGACATGGCTGATAATTCTTCAGAAACAAGTGAATGTTTCCCCCTCAGAGTTTTTCATTATTACCGACACTGTTTTCTCAAGTGGCTGCAGTGACTCAAACCTCAGATATGTAGACTGCCCGTCTGCAGCACCAAATTTGGTCGTAGCTCACTCTGAGTAATCAAATACTAACATTTTGCTCATCAAAATGGGCGCAGTGGAAAGATTTAAGATAGCCATTTGTTTATGCTCCTGCCTGAAGGAGGACGCTTTATAAATCATGTGCAGCGGATACAGTAACACCGTGTCAGGATCCATTAAACCAGGAGGAGACGCTCTCTTTTCAGTAGCTGACAGAGCGTTGATGTAGTCTGACAGGTAATGGGAAGAAAACTCTGAGAAACCTTCCTGGAGTGTGACTCATCATTCATGATAAGCTTGAAGTTAACATCTTCAGCGTCTCGGCTGCTTATTTCTTCAGCAGCCTGTGAAAAGCTGACACACGGCCCGAGACTGCAGCTATAAAATTTAAGCCATACACAAAGGCAAATATTGACTGTGCCTCGTACACACAGCCGTCTCTCTCTCTCTCTCTCACTGTAAATCTTCTCCACTCTTCTGTCTGCTCACTTTCTCTCCCTCCATTTCTCTGATCTCTGAACAGCAAATATGGCCTGATCATCTGCCAGCAGCTGAGTGGATAACGTCTCCTTTATCAGTCCTGTGTCAACACATTATGTAAAAGTGTCTCTGGAGAGGTCACGGGTTAATATGGTGGTCATGGTCGGTGGAATGAGGACTAGAACCAATAACATCTGTCCAAAAGTACTCTCTCTTTTTTATCCTCTGCGTAGCCTCATAAATTTAGTCTAATAAGCTTGTTATTTTCAAGTTTAAATATTTGGTGAAATTTTGAAGTGAATGCTTTGAACATTCGTACATTTGTTTGGTAATTTTATTAACTCTTTTGTTGTGCATTTTTGTTTTGTTTTAGTATTTTTCCAGCGGAAACAATCAGCCAGCTAAAATACAGTATCAGCCAATTTCTAGAAAATTATTTTGGTAACTGATCGTTTAAATACTTTATCAAGGAAAATGTCCACAGAATAACTGGATTTGCTGCTATTCTCTTTTATATCATTTATAATTTATTATCTTTAAGTTTGGCACTGCTAGTCAGATAATTCAAGTGATTTGAAGACTCTTAAGTGTTAAATTTATCAATTAATCAAAAATAGAACTGACATACTATTGATAATGAACACCATCATTAGCTGCAACCCTATCTCTGTATTATTTCTGTAGCTTTATGTTAACTTTTCTGTTAGTTTTGTTTTGGGATTTTTTTTTTTTACAAAATTGATTAGTAGTTTGCACAAAAAAGGAGGTATGCACCTTTAAAAGAAGGAAGGGTGGAGTTTGTGGGAACAAAAATCAAACTAAGGCTGCAAGTATGTTGATTGTTTTTCTAAATGCTTGACTAAGCATTTAAAATGTCAGAAAATAGCCAAAAAATATTCATCAAAAGTTACGAGTACCCCAGTGTCCATATTTATATTGCTTGTCTTGTGCGACCACCAGCCAAAACCCAAAGATAGAAAATGTACACTGATATAAAACAGAGAAGAACAGCAAATTCTCACATTTGACAACCTAAAACCAGAGAAAATTCCTCATTTTTGCCCGATTACGGCCTTAAAATAATCAACTGTCAGAATTTTTGCCCATTCATTTCCTCCCAATCACTTCTTTAATTAATGAATTAATAGCTTGAGTAGTTAAGCCGCAAAACAACAGAAGTGATACTGTTTGTAAATCCAGTAACACAGTAGGAAAGAGACATGACCTATGACTATGTTTACAGAGCTATTCTTTGCTCTATGTGACCCTTGCCAACAAACCCACATCATGACATGGCATAAAAATAACAAATGGCATTTAACACTGTACGTCCGCACTGTAGTTATACCTGTATACTTTTGATTCCAGCTCTGCAATAGTATTTCTTGATGTCCACGTCAATTGCTGTATTTCCGACAAAGCTGAGAGGAAGAAAAATGCAGAAAGAGGATTAATGTTGTGATGTGAAAGTGAGGAAAGAAAGAAGGAAATATATAGATTAACTGCACAATCATGGCTTCATGTTTTGCCTATGTTCTAACAGAGCAGGGCTCTAACCCTAACCAGTAGCAGAGATACTATTATTCTTAGGACGCATTCACACTGGTGCTATTTGGTCCGCTTTAAATGAACCCTGGTCTGCTTCCACAGATATTTCGGTTCGTTTGGAGTGGTGTGAACGCTCATTCAAACTCTGGTGCGGACCTAACGAGCGAACCCTGGTCTGCTTAAAAACTGGGGGTCTCGGTTCACTTGCAAGTGAACCCTGGTGCGGTTCGTTTACAGTGGGAAATGCAAACGGACTATCCAGTAAACCAAAGAGAGGAGGTGAACCAAAGAGAGGAAGTGACGTAAAGCGAATTGCATTTTGGTGTTTGGTGTTTTTGTAGTGACCAAGCCAGCTGAAGGGGATGATTATCCGTTTTTGATCCTGGCCAGTCGGGTTTTCTTCTTCCTCATGCTTTTTTTCTTCCTGGTCAGTGGCTGTTTCAGGCAATACCACCCCCAAACGAGCAGCTGTTGTAACTGCCTGATGTTGTTGTTTAAAAAGTAAAGTGTGAAAGTGAACCGAACCAAATGAAGGTGTGAAATTTTTCGGCATTCCCCGCCCAATCGAACCGAGTTCCCTGGACTATCCTGGTGTGAATGCGCCCTTGGAGGGAAAGGTGAGTGTCATCAGTAGAAGCTGTGGAATCACAAACTACAAGTGATCAATGGTAAAGTTAAAGCTTTGTGAATATGAGAGGTTAACTATGTACCTGACTTGCAGGTCCATGATGACCTGTCTCTTGTCCACATTCTCCGTGTAAACTTTCACCCCGTTGACTCTCAGCGGCTGCAGGAACACAGATATGACAGAGCAGAAACAAGTGAGCAAATCCCTCTTAAATCTGTCCAGACTCTGGATTAAAACCTCACAGATCTGCTGTTTATTACCTACATATGATGCTTTGCTGTGAAATATGAGCAAAATCTGGCTCAGTATGTGGTTTAAGCAAGAAAAGACAAGCAAAGACAGCTTGGTACAAACAGTGGAGGAATGCTTTTCAAAACAGAAAACAGCTCGGATTAAAAAAACAGATTCACTTTGCTGCTTTTGTTCTCCTGTTGGAAAATGGAGAGTAGAAAAGTCAGTTCATGCAAGTGATGGAAGTTCAACAGCACAAAGTAGACAAAAATAAACCCACCAATAAAAGTCCAAACACCTACACTTTGACAGAAGCTACGAGCAGCAGTATTAAAAAAAAACATCCTGGTTATTTTGCACGTTTTAGCCCATTTAGTACAAATAAATGCAGATTTTTAATACTCTTCTAATGCATTTATAGATCATTCTACAGTATTTCATATGTCTATGTGTCATCTGGTATGCAGTATCAGATGACAGATTTCATCATATGGTCACCTGCTCCAGGCACACTACTGCAAGAGTTTACATCACTTCATGTAGCTACATGCTAACGTCAGGAAAACACTGTGATTTTTCATAGTAGAAACCACAGCTATTCCCTGCTACAATCATTTCCCCGACTGCAGTGAGGTGCAGAAAGCGCATATGCAGAAGTCCTGGACAAGCTGACCCACCAAAGCAGACTGGGATTTTTTGTGAGGGGGCTTAAAGAGATGGGTCCTAAAATGGAGCGTCTCAGACAGAGGGTGACTACAGGTGTTCCAGCACGGACCATATGAGGAAAATAAAGTGTTTTTTGACCCTTAAAGCATTAGACATGTTCTAGTAGAGCATTAAAGTTCCCCTTTAAGTCCAAACTTTACAAATCCAATACTGTATGTATTAACACCACCATGACAGTCTTGGTGTTGTTATCTCGTCACCTTGTCGCCCATGTCAATCTTGGTGAAGCAGAAGGTGCTGAGATGAGGGTTGGCACTCTTCACCGCTGGCTCGATGGTCTCTCTGAACAGTTTGTCCACAAACTGGCAGATAAACGGCCACATCTGCTTCACTGTCTGAGGGAGAGAGAGAGAGAGAGAGAGAGAGAGAGAGAGAGAGAGAGAGGGAGAGAGAATTAGGCTAATAGATCACCACATGGTGTATGCCAGGCTGGACTCTTAATATTCTCCATCCCAAAGAGGAGTTGAAAGTGTGTTCTGTTTTTACTATGGGAAAAGACGGTGAATTATCTGGAATCTCATTGTTTGGAGACACTAGAGATTTATGTGGCAATATATTAATATGGTTCAAATGAGAAACAGTGCAGAGAACACTGTGCTGTATTAACACTGCACAGACACACAGCGAGTGCGATTTCTGCAACACTAACCACTGTAAAACCACTGCTAATTTCAAACCAAGCCGTCCTATCTATTGCATGGAGAATTTTATGGTAACATAATGGGATATTATTCATTTATCTGTTAATATGCCACAGTCACACACTGTACTGGCAGTGGAAGGGCTTAGAATTCAGAGCGTTTCTCTCCTCAGTCTATCGTCTGCTTCTCAGTGACCCAGAAAAACCTTTGAAGGATTTTTACGAGCTCAGAGACGAGAATGAATATGTGTGAGCGAACAGGCAGGAATGTTCTCAGAGCTGATCGTCACCTGACATGCCCTTTTTGGGGTGAGATCTCTCATCTGATTGAGAAAGCGGAACTGAGGATCTGAAGGATGCTGACATTCAGACTCATTAGTGAACTTGTAAAACACTTTACGGTTTGTTGTGGTTCTGTGGTCCCCGAGGAAACCTCATTCTTTTAAATGTGAAATTTCTCCCCCTAAAAAAGACTTTTTAAAAAAAATAATAATAATAATAATATTAATATGATTCCATTAATAAAGATTAATTCATATCATTACAGTCCACATTATTTATCTGTCAGCATAAAAATGTTCTCAATTTTGTTTACTTCATAAATAATAATGATAATGTTTAATTCTTTATTTCCATTCCTTTCATATCTGTACATTTTCCTTTTTATACGATCATTGTCAGCTGACTTGTTGAACTCTTTCATTTTGTGTTTCTTACTGTCAACTATTTTCTTCAAAATTTGCTGCTAAATGAAGTTGTACTTGTTAGTTTAGTATTTTTATTTATTTACTTTTTTAAGTTGAGGCTCGGTCTATTAAAGCTTCTCGACCTCTCCTGTCACATGCGTCACTGTATGATTTTACGCTGTCATATATATGTGAAAATAAAATAATTAAGTACAAAAAAAACTTCACGCTATAAAAAAATAGTTTAGAAAATTAACTCAAGCCTTAATTTATTAGGCAATGCAGGTTTGATGACCATTTTTTAATTCTACCGGTAATCAGAGAGAATTAAAACATTGCTCTTTTGCTCCTACACTGGCAGAGTTTTCCATCACATACACTGATACCCTTCCCTTCAGGGACAGTTGACTGTAACTAACAAACTGATTTAAACACTAAAACCACATCCTCTGCACTGACAGATGCAACACAGACACACAGTGATGACTTTTTTCTCTCAAAAACACATTTTTTTTTTAAAAGGAGCTGATACATTTTAACTGATTTTTATCTTGATATAATGTTCCCCCACTTTTAAAAGTTATTACCTGTTTTCATGTTTCCTGCTGCAATTGTTTATCTTAAATGAGTTTGTCTTGTCAAGAGAACAGCTCAAAAATATATTTCTCTTATGCAAAATAAAGAAAAATGGGTACAAAAAGTAGACCCGTCATCTGACTCTGTTCCAGTAAACCTAATAAAATAAGCACAGGTTTGAGGGCTTGTGTTGAAAAGGGATTTATTTATTATGGATTTTAAATACATTCAAACAACAGTAAGTATTTAAAATAAACACAGAAATGTCTAATTTTTTTAAAGATACTGTAAAATAACAAAAAAAGAGCCCTAGATTACATCACTAGGCTTAAACTGAGGCTATAAAGCCCTCATGGTCGCTCACTGTACTTCATCTCCAGATAGCGAGCAGTATAAATGCCAGTCGGCTGGAGTTATCACCTCTCAACCCCTCTCTGATAAAAGACGGCTATTCTGTGCCTTGGAGGAGCATAAATCTTTCTTATTGCCCTTTTACATCAGACTCTGTGTGTTTGTAAACAACCATAGAAGATAAATATGACATAAAAACCACTCTGTCAGGTTCAGATATTAAAAAGCTCTTTTCCCTTTCATCAACATCCATTAACTTCTTACTGGAAGTCCACCTGAACATTTACTGTAAGTGGTGCTCTTCCACTTCTCTCTTGCTCTCTAGTTCTCTTTCTATATCTTCCTATATCTCTCTATCACTCGCTCAAACTCCCCCTCTCTTTCGGGGGGTGGTAGCACTGGGTCAGGGTCTAGCAGAGCTCCAGATTCAGATCCTATTTATATACGCTACCTGTGTGCTTCTGCTAGCTGACAGGCTAACGGCGCTGGATGTAGAGCAAACCAGTGGGTGAGAGGAGAGAGAGATGAATATAATGAGTGTGCCCATGTGTGTGTGTGTGTGTGTGTGTGTATGTGTACCTTATTCAGCCACTCCACTCTCTCCACATCTGGGTAATGGACCTGGAATAACAAAGAGAAAGGAAAGAGTTAGAATCACATACAAAATACAATGTGTTTTTTAATGTACGAATTCACTGGGCAAAAAAAGAAAACCAATTCAACTTATATTACAAGGCAAACATGCCATATTTATTTTTATGTAACATTTTTAAACAAAACTGTTTAATTCATCCTTTAACAGGCTCAGGTGTTGATATTCCTGGGAAAATCCTGACAGTAGCCACAGCCAGGGCAAACTGCAGGTCTGATTACCAGTATGTATACCAGGCTCCTGTGTAAATCCTAATTACCAAAGATAAACACACTCTTTGCATTCTCTTTGTTTTGACACAGTATTACATATCTTGCACTTTCTCCCCTATCCATGCCAGTTTCTCTTTGGCAGAGCACCCAGCAACATAGTCTCTGATGCAGCCTGCAAAAGCTCACAATCATCACACATGCTGTAAGACACTTGGCAAGCATCCCCAGTGACAACCAAAATTTGGAAATTCACAAAGAACTTTCCAAAACTTAATTCAGTTCAGAGAATATTTGTTTACTTGTTCTTTTAAAGAAGAACTTCCTCCATATGAGTATCACAGTGGCTTGGTGTCTTTTAAGAATTTAAAATCAAAAGTCAGCTTTTGTCACCCACAGATTTCAGACTTGCATTATCTTTATACAAGACTAAGACTGCATCCAAAGTCTCTTATTTGATATTTCCATTTCCAAGCCATTTTGATCTGCCATCTTGCAGACCATCCCAAAGCTTTTATTTCTGCTCTGAGGAGGAGGAGGAGGAGGAGGAGGAGGAGAGATCTCTGTGGAGCATGTGCGAGGATACATGAAAGTAGCCTTCCTGGAAGACTTTAAGATAACAAGCTATGATATTAAATACTCTGCCCCTTCATTTGGCAATTGTGAGTGGGGTCACGGAAAAACAGTACAACTGCCCATTATTAACAGTTAATTTATGATTTGAAATGTAACGTAACGTTAATACAACATGCGCTGGCGTTTATTTAATCCATAAGCCGTTATGTCATTACAGCACCTTCCTAATGTGTTTATTGTAAAGCATGCATTATTTATCGGAGACATTTTTCAAAACATGTTTTAAAATGTTGTGTTAACACTATAGAATGACAGATGTTGGCCGCTATTAGCAGATCCAGTTGTGACACAATTATCAGAAACGGACGTCACTTCACGTGACAGGTGGACATCTCATTTCTCTAAAAACCCATTTCCTCCTTTCCTCTCTCCTCACATAGTTTCTTGCATCTCTCCATGCATCCTCAGTGGGAGGGACTAAGACACAAGGAAAAGACACATGTCAGGGAAACTTAGAGGCAATTTAAGAGACTTGGGATGCACCCTGTTAGCCTACAGTCATACTAGCAGCTCTGTGAGGCTGCACTAAGGTAAAGTCAGGCTTTGAGCTGTATGCTAACACATCTGACTACCTGAGAACACCAAGTCTATGAAGCCACAGTGGGATAGAATCTGACAGGATGTCAGTGCAGCCCATCACAGCTGTTGTGGAGGACTGGCAATCGCCTGTGACAGACCTGCTGTATGGCAGACACTGGGTAGATTCTGCAGAAACACTCAGGCCTGGGGCGCATACACAGAAACCCTCGCTGAGTACATTTAAATGGGGCCATAAACAAGATGCATTTGAATAGAGACTAAGTTCCCCGAAGGCTTTAGTCTCTAAATACATAAATAAATAAAAAGTTTATGCACAAGTGCTTCCTTATTTCACTGTTTTGCATTCACTGGAAAATGTCCACAGCAGATCCATGAATACAAACTATACAAATAAATTGGACAATATTTCTACATTACTGCTGGTAAAATAAGAAAAAAACATACTTTGGTGTATTCAATTGATCAGAACTGCTCACAACAAATAAGGAATGTGTAAAAATCTGTAAAATTATGTACTTAAGATGCATTTAAAATGCACTAAATTCATGTTTTTGTTCACTGTTTCCAGTACAGTTTCAAGAGTACACTTGAACTGAATCAGTTAAGTTTTATACTGTAAATGTGATGTGCGACATTATTGTTATTATTATTATTATTATTATTATTATTATTATTATATTGTCATTAATGGCACAATCTTTTATTGTAGCCAAAAAGCCCTTCACCAAAATTCAAAACCCTTGATTGGTATCTTCTTTTGGTGTATAATCTGGCTGATAAATTACAAGAAGTTGCAGTAAAGAAATACCAAAGATAAACCGAAGGTATACAGCTGACCCAAATGCTTTGGAGCTTTGGTCGTTGCCATGGTCATTGATGTCAAAATCAGTGTTTGAATGCTCTGTAGTTATTCATGAAGCACCAAGATACATTATTTTTAGTTATTCTTAGACAAGGACATTTAAACAAGTGATAGTTATGCAACTTAGACTCGCTCTCTTCTAACGTCAGTCACCAACAGTCCAGCATGACTCTAACTGGGCCTGTTTGATGACATGTAACAGGCTTACAGATAAACTAGCAAGATGTCAAAAAAGTCAAGTGCTTGGAATAGTTTGAAAATTTGTGCAGATGGCCCCCAAAAGTCAAGCATCAGATAAGCCAAAGTAATCTGGTTTGTCACAAATCTGCAACCAGCTTGACAAATCACCTGGAAACTTTAAATAACAGCTGAGCCATTTCACAAAATATTCTTTTTTTAGCTGTTATTGCTAATGCACAACCTGCATGCTAACTGTCACATTATTGAATTTGCAGTGACTGAGGACAAAATATATGAAACAACCGACAAAAACAACTTCATGGTACGGTCCAAAGTAAGAGTGGTGGTTGTAAATGCTGCTGTCAAAGTCTTATTCTACTACTGTTGTTTAAATACCTTCTAGTAAGATACCATTTATTTCTCACATGCACCATGAATAGCAACAAAGCAAAGGGATGACATTACATCATTTATCATCACTATGTCCAACTGAGGTCGAGAGGACAGAGAAGTCAAAGTTACTGGAATGTAGCCAAACATTTAAATGGGCCACACATTGTTGGTTGTCCACGTTACGGTGAACACTGCAAGTTTATTCAAGGTTGCGTAAAGCAGCGCTGTGCCAGGTGTGGCTGTGATCTGTTCTATGGTCAGCACCATCACAGCAGTCAGCTACACCAGCTGCATCTGTTGCAAACTCAAAACAAAGTAAAGGAGTGTTGGAACCGTGAAGTAAATGCAGGAAAGAATGACTCATCTGTCCAATAAACAGGCAGCTGCGGAAGCCCAATTTTCTCCCCTTTAAGGGTAAACAACAGCAACAGAGGAAGCAACACTGCAACAGTGTTCAAATGAAAAAGTAAAGGGAAAGAGGTGCAGTTAAAACTCAGACCAAAAAGCAAATGACAGTCATTCACATGATGTAAACAGGAAACAACACTTCGGAGGTACTAATGAAGCAGCCAACATGACTCAGCTTGTGGAGACAAAACTGGGGATAAAACTCAAAATACATGAGCGGAGGAGGAAACAAAGCTGACGCAGAGGTAACAGAGAGGGAGAGAGAAAATGAATGACACTGGCAGAAATGAACAAAACAGTGGTTAAAAAAATGAATGTATGTATTTTTATAACAGCTTCCGTAACAAAGCAAGGAAACGGATTCATTTCCTTAAAAAAAATAGGAACATTTCTCTTTTTAGAGCAACAATGGCACTACATTTTTTTCTGAGTGAAGAAGGACAAAGGTTTCTAAAGGTCATTCATCTCTTCAATGTGGTCCAAGCAGAAAATCTGAAAGCTTTAGCTTAGCCTCCTGTTCCAGAAGACTTCCTTTTCAAATCTCACCCAATGGCTCATAATGTAAAAATACACAGTGGAGGCCTCTAGACACTGATAATCTTCTCAGTCATGGACTCTCAAAATGGATTTAGTACAAATTTATTGATGGCAACATGCTCCACCCAGTAGGGCAGCAAGATTATATGCAATAACACTGATGAACGTCACAATACTTCTTTCGATGAATAAACAGATATTAAAGTGTACTCGGTTCTTGACTAAGACTTGTATAGTACCTGTGCTTCTGCTTGTCATCTCTTCTGTATCCAAAAAACTGCCAGGCAGCTGACATGCTATTTTTTTGGCATAAGTTACTCCCTGGCATTTACATCTTTTGTCTCACTTGCACGCGTTCAGATTCTGACCAATCGGACAATGCCTAATGACGAGGGTTCGGTCTGACTGGCCAGAGAGTTAACAGCATGGCATATCAAACAAAATAGTGTCTAAAGACAGAATTTAATTCAATATGTTGTTAGTATATTCAAAGCTGCATATTGAGTCTTTTGCAATTTTTGTATCACGCAAGTTTATATCCCCATGACGATTAAAAAACAACAAACAGTTCAGCCCTAATTACATTGTGTAAAAATTACTTGAACCATATAAATAGCATAACCCAATGTTCATCAAAAATGACTAGCAAGCACTGGAGACCTGTGCTAGCAGTCTACAAGCCAACATAACCTAATTGCAAAAAAAATAAAAAAAATAAAAAAATTACATCGCTGGTATCATATGGTTGTGCAAACCACGGATACCTTACATTTGCGAGTTAGTATGTAGGGGATATGTTGAAACTCTGTATTTCAACAATACTGCGGTTAATGTGTGGTTAGGTTTAGGCACACAAACTACTTGGTTACTGTTAGGAAAATATCATGTTTTGGTGTACACCTAGTTTGGGGGCACAATCCTGGAAGGAAAGACAGCAATGTCTCTGGAAAAAAATAATCACTTTTCATAGCACTTTTCCTCCCGACAAGTTGCTATGAAACACCCATGTCTGGAGCCTAAAAAGCCACTGGAAAAACACCAACAGTTGGCTACAAAAGATTGATGATTAAGCCAATTTTTGTTGTTTATTGGTGTCAAACAGTACAGAGCAGCTTGGCAGCCATCTCGCCTTGGTGACATCCACCATCCCCTCCACCTCCTGGCGACAAATTCAGCTCATAGATTACATCACTTTAGAAATGCT